ACCTGTGATCAGCATTGCTCGACCCTAACTTAGCGGTGTTCGCTTAGAAAGAGGCTCCGTTGAATTCCAGTGGGGCTCTACACGAGGCTAATGCTGGGATCCTAGGCGCGCTTGACAATGAATAGGGATTTATCCTCAAGCGAAAAGAATACAGTTTGGGGGATCGGAGAGGGACAATAACCAAGGCGAGTTTGTCGACTCCCCGCACCTATTAAACAAATTAAGGGCGGGGAAGTTTTAAAAACATTCCCCCTAAAGGGCATCATGCACGCAGACAGACATCCCCCCCCACTTCTATGGCATTTTAAAATAGAAAAAGTACGATCCCATTTTTCAAAAGCTGTTTCTCTGGGAAGGTATTGTGTAGGAGGAGCGCTGGAAACGGATGCTCCAGGTGATAAAGAATCGGCTGTAGCTCACCCCCACCCCCACCTCCCCACAGGAAGAGGACAGCCTCTGGGGGCTGATCCCAGAGCCATCCTTTAACCTCCCGCCCCATTCTTGTCGTGCCACTCCAGCGATGGATCGCGCCGATGCGGGGCGACCAAGCCGCTTGCACCAGCGCCAGTCTCTTTGAAAGCCAATGGGATTGTTCCCGAGAAGGCGGCCAGCTGAGGAATGTGGTTGATCATCTCCCCATGCATCTCCCGCACTTGGGTGGACAAGTCTTGCCAGTGTGATTTCCCCACCCCCACCCCCTGCCGGATCTGCCCCTCCCTCAAACGCAAAGCCTTGGATCAGTGTTTGGGTCCTGAGTTCAAGTGAGGAGTCAGACGCTGTGTGTGTGTGTGTGTGTGTGTGTGTGTTGAGGACCAGCGACTTAGTGCCTCATTCTGTGCGCCTTTGTATTTTAATTTAGGAGACTTTCAAAGCCTCCTTTGCCTCGCGGTGGGCCCTGTTTCTCCAGGGAGGGATGCTGGGAGGGCGGGGCTGGAGCTGAGGTGGGGGGAGATTTCAGATAATGTAGCGGCTAACTCGATTATGCTAACAAACTTGGCTTGAAAGCAAATACTGTGCTAGGCAGGGATGCTATGGAGGTGGGGCGGCTGCAAATGTAATCAGATTCTTCAGGCAAGGAGGGCTGCAATCTGTGGCACGATGAGACGAGTCCCTCCAGCCTTCGGAGTGCATTTATTCAGATGTTGTTGTGTTTTTTGCTTTTGTTTTTTTTAAAACGCTTCCTTTCTCCTTCTACCTTTCCCGGTCCTCCTTGGACCCCTTTGGCGCGTCACCGACGTGTTTAGGGACCCGATCTCGATTCTGGGAGTTGTAGGTCGCCATTGCAACTTCTACATCCAGCTAGGCATATGGAGTGGGATTGTGCTCTTACGCATGCTTGAGCTGCTCCCCAAGCGCCCTAACGCGGGAATAAAGCCTCGCTGGGCTCAGGAGGGTTTACTTCCGAGTAAACCTGCGTGCGCTTTTGCTGCAGAAAATCCCAGAGATGTCAAGGGTGTCAGTGTTGTCTGGCTCCTCAACACATGGAGTCTCAGGTGGGCTTTTTGGGGTTGCAGCCCGAGGGACAGTGACTATATGGTATGATAGGAGTGCATTTAAGTTGAAAGAAAGGCTAAGATCCTGTTCCTTTCCAGCAAGCCCTAAGCAACGCAATAGAACTTCCTTCCGAGTTTTTTCTTAATGGCTAGAATCAGGTCCTTCACTTGTAAGGTTTCGTTGTCTCCTTCCGAAAACGAGTATCCACGTGCGAGATTTCGAACGGCCTGATCCACACGATCCAGTTAAACCGAAGCGCTTCGACTCCTTTCATTTATGTATCTCAAGCCTAAATAGTTTTTCTCTGCTCGCCACACGATTTTAGGGGCGCAATCCAATAGCGAAGTCACTCCCGAAGGGGCATGAGAAGTAGTCTGTCCGTTAGTTTCTAGAGAATCACCATCAGATTTAGGGCTGCGATCCTACACGAATCGCCTTTGGGTGCAATCCTATACAAGCATTCCTGGGAACGAACCTCGCTGAGCGCAATGGGAGCTTACGTCCGAGTAAACATTCGTGGGGTTATGGTGTTTGACTTGGCGATCACTTTGCAACGAAATCCGAGAAACGCCCTACAGAACAGAGGATAAATGCCGGATAAATTCGGGCACATTTCACCTCCGTGGGTTTTAGTGGGAAAACCGAGCAGGCGCTTAAAAGTGACTTTCTTTGCAGAGGTGCTGGAACCACTTCAGTAACAGTAGAAACCCTTATGTAGTAGATACAACCACGAGTGATCGCTAGAGGTGCAATCTTAACCCCACTTAGGACTTACTTCTGAGTAGACATGGCTAGGCTTGCGCTGTTAGAACCTTTCTGTTTGTGTTTTAGGACTGTATATTTATTAATTTTATAAGGCTATCCGTCATTTGATTGGTGGTGCTATACCGTTCGGTCAAGAACTTTAGTCAAATCCAAGACAATCCAAAGTCTTATTTGATTTGATGCTTCAAGGCGGCAGCTCTAGGCACAATTCATCTGAGAGCGAGCTCTAATTATTAGTTTATTATTATTCATGGGTGTAGCTAAGGGGGGCAGGGAGGGGCAGCTGCTCCCCAATCAATAAAGATCAATAAAAATACATAACTGAGGTTCTGCCCCCCTAACAAAAGGCTTGTCCCCCAGCAAAAATCCTGGCTACGCCCATGTTATTATTTATTAAATTTGTATACCGCCCTATACCCGCAGATCTCAGGGCGGTTCACAGTGGGGCTAACTTCCGAGTAAACACGTTTGGGGGGAGGAAGATCTTTAAATAAAAAAATAATCAGTGGGGGCAAAGACGTCTGTCCCCACCAGAGTTGATGGTGTACAGACTTTAACCCTAATTTGAGTTCATTAGGATCAATAGCTTCTTTACTCAGAAGTCAGCCCCACCGTGTTCACTTACAGGTAAGAGCGCTTGGAACTGCAGCCACCCACCCGGGATACGTGCAAGTACATCTACTTGGCGGTAAATTAAATCGGGGCGGAGGTTCTTAAGCACTCAGTGGAACGCGTGGGATCCCGACTGTTTAGGATTCGCGCGTAGTTTGGTCTCCAAGCGTTCCCGTCTGAAGTGGATTGGCGATAGGGCTATAGTTTTTAGGGTGAAGTGGGTGAGGGGATTGGGATCTCCAGCAGAGGGTCCTTCAGCGGGAGACAGGCGGCTGGCGGGGGGAGCTCCAGGGAAGGGACTGCGCGAGGAGAAAGCGCGGCTCCCTCTCCTGAAACGAGACTCCCGTGCGTCGGGCGCTGTGGGTTCTCTATTATTTGCCGAGGCAGAGTCAACCTCCCCTGCCTCCCGCTCTCCCTCCCTTTCTCCGCCAGCAACCCGATAGCCTCCAGGTTAATGGGGCCACCCTTGATTGCCTTTGTAGTGTCCCCTTGAAAACCTAGATGGAAACATGGGAACGCCAGGGGGGTCCTGGTTATATTAGAGGAGTTCTCTTGCAGGAGAGGTGCAGCGCAGCGAGTTAATTGGGAAAGAAACGGGGGGGGGGCGGCGCGGGGGGGGGATGAGCAGCAATATCCGTCTGGTTTCATTGATTAAACAAATCCTGCCTTATTTGTGATTGGAGAAATAACGTTTCCATGAGACGAGTCACTTGACAAGTTATGTAACCCAAAAGCAGACAAAATAATTTGTCTCTGATGTGGGCAGCAGAATAGGGGTTTTTTTGGGGAGGGGCGTTATATCCTATTTTAGTCAATAGCTTTCTAATATATAATTTTAACGCTGCCCCTTCCCAGTAAGCGTCAGTAGTGTGTACACACACACACACACACACACAAAATAATGGTTTACTTGTCATACTGGGCATTGGATTGCAATTTAATAATCCGCTCCTATCTTAAATTAACCACAATTTGTCCTATTCATTTCAAATTAGCATGCTTTTCGCTACTTACTTGGGAGTAAGCCTAGTCCCATGGTACTCCATGGGGTTTGCTCCCGAGTGTACGTGGAGGTTTCTCAGCCAGCTGTAAATCTCACTGAAATACTCTGAGTTTTAAAGTGTGCTTAACTTTGGCTGGATCGTGTTTTATCCGTGTGTATTAGTATGTGCATATATATTTTTAGCTTGAATAAAGTGGGGTGGGGAGATCCTCTTAATATTCTTGTCTTCATTAAGGTGATAGTTCTTTTTTAAAGTCAGGAAAACAGTCACAGAATTGTAGGGCTGAAAAGGACCCCCTGGGGGTGGGATCACCTAGTCCAGTTAAATCGAATTAATTGTATCAAGCGATTCTTCCCATTTCGTAGAGAAATGTTGGGCTTTGTATTAAATAGTCGCTGACATTCCTGCTTTGGGGTGTGTGTATTGGAATCCAGATCATTTCGATGTAATTAGCGCTACAGTTCTATACACCCTTTGCTTGGGCACTATGAATGAATTTGCGTAAAGGGGGCAGGATGAGGTCGCGCGTGCAATAGGATGCGAGGCATCTTCACCTTTGCCTACCTGATTCAGAATCGACCAGGTAGCACGAACCATTTGAACTGAAAGAGACTGAAGAGGGAGGAAGAGAGAGCCGTGGGACTGCAGGTCTCTAAAGCTGGGTATCTTCGGTTTTAAATACCTAATTAAACTGGCGCCTCGGCAGAATTAAAGAATACATTCGGAATAAATGAACGCGGGCCTTGACGTGAGGTGGTCTCGGCAGAAGAATCCCTTTCCCCCCACCACTAGGGCTACTTCAGAGCAAGCAGGAGGGGACTCATAGCCAAAAGAGGAGCCCGATAAAATTCTGCCCCTCTCAGACTGATTCACTACCCAGCGATGTAAACGTTTTAAACCGGTTTTCTCCTCCCCCTCCCCTCCCCTGCCATACTGCATTTGGAAAGTGGTGAATCATCGCCGGCAGAAACGGCAGAATCCGATCCTATGCATATCCGAACCTGATGATCCTTATGTTGGCGTTTGGAGTTAAAGCACATCAGTAGAAGTTGAATTTACAGTAATGCTGAATGCCTGTTGGAGCAGCGTACTTTACCCTGGATATAATGACGCAGAGACTCTGGATTTAGGCAAATAAGAAAGCTACGTTTATTACAGGAAATACAACTGGATAGGGAAGATCTTAGTGCATCTCCACCTTAGTTAAATAGAATTGAGACTTGCTTGCTTCTGCATCTCAGCATGTATCCTCTCCCGAGTTGAGGACGAAGAAGAAAGAAGCAGGAAATGAGGTCAGCGACCCTAAGAGTATCATTCTAGCACCTGAGGGAAGGCCAATACAGGTTAGGTTAAAAAAAGGACAGTCTAGGAAACTTGGAGGTTCCTCTCTCTATCTACTCTTCCCATGAAGGCTCATCTCCCTCTAATGCAAGCTGAGTTTCATCCCAACACTTACAACACTTTACTCCCAAATCAGTGACATAAGGAGTTCAGATTAGGGTTGCAATTCGGTTGAATTAAAATAAATGGGAGTTAATCTTGGAGCAGGATTGCATCTATATTTGGAAGGAAGTCGGTCCACTGACACCCATGGTATATGCAATAAAAGCTTTTTGTTTATTTAAGGATAGAGGCTCTGGTCCATTATAAACTGAAAGAAACAAGTTTACTCTGAAAGGGGCATTTTTGTTGGGACACATTTGTAGTTTAAAGCGCAACCCTCTATTCATTTACTCTCCTTGATTTGAATGCTATTTACTTCTGAGCAAGCAGCGAGGCGCTGTAAGGGTGCTTAGGGATCCAGCCTATGAAAGTATCCTAAAATCTAAACTACAGTACTATCTTTTAACCAGCTCGCTCTCACTCACTCACTCTCTCACTCACTCTCACTCTCACACACATCCCTACCTGAAACACTAAGCCTGCAATTCTATATACACTTATATACGGGAGTAAAGGATCCCATTGAAACTAGCAAACGTGGATAGGATCCCAAGCAGCCACGGTACTGCTCTGATTACTGATCTCGATCAACCACAGCAAAAGCAGCCCTCACACCCGCGCGCCTCCAGACATACCCACAAATTACTTTGCTTAAACTCTTAAGAAACAGTTTGCAAGTTCGGAGCTTGAACATTTCCCCCCTTACAGAAAGTTTCTCTCTCTGTCCACCCCAGCCTCCCAAACACTCCGGTTCTCTGCATTCTCAAAACCCTAGACAAGACAACAAGTACAAACAACAACAAGGGAGTAAAGAGAAACAGATGGTTGGAATAAGGAGCAAGAGCCGTTTGCCTTGGGGGATTGGCAGTAACCAGCCGAGCTCAGGCAGGGCACGAAATCCTAAATTGGGCGGGTGGGGTGGGGGAAGAGAGTGAGATGGGGTGGGCTTTTTTGTGGGGGGACGGACTGGGCTAAGTTTCCCCCTCCAGGCTTGATCGCCGCCGCCGCGATCAATTTGAAAATACTTGTTGTGACCGTCGCCTTTTTCCTGGATCAGAGATGCAGGCCAAGCCGGTGGCAGCCAGAGCGCAGAGCGCAGAGCGGAGGGTCCCATTCCATCCTCCTCGTCCTCATCTTCTTCCTCCTCGTCTTGATGAATAGCGATCAGGTTTCCCCGAATGGCTGCCCGCTATTTTCACAGCCTCCCACCACCACTAACCCGAGAGCCTGTTCCCCCGACCTCAGTTAATGCCACTGATTATTCCAAGATGGCGAGGGAGGCAGGAGGCGCGCTGGCTGGGCCCGCTGATTCAGAGCAGTTGCCTTATTACCAGCGACATCCTCCCCGGCTCAGGCAGGCGAACCCGGGCGGGCGCGCGGGGGGAGGAAGAGGATAATCTTACAGCAGCACGACCCGGAGAAGGGGCAGCTTGAGTGACAGCTGGGAAAAGGCCAAATTGCCGGGAGCTCCCCAACCCAGATCGAAGGCTTGAGGGACTGCGAGCCACGCTTACTTGGGAGTAAGGCCCCTGTTCAGAGGAGATGTGCATAAATCTCTGGATTGCAATGGGAAACAGGCGCATGTGCTCCGTGGCGATTGATAATCTTGTGTTTAATGAGTAGTAACAGTAAGCAACCCTATTGTGGTTGTTGTTGTTGTTGTTTTGTACCCCGCCCATCTGACTGGGTTGCCCCAGCCACTCTGGGCTGTTCACAGCATATATGAAAACATAAAGGTAAAGGGACCCTGACCATTAGGTCCAGTCGCGGCCGACTCTGGGGTTGCGGCGCTCATCTCGCTCTACTGGCTGAGGGAGCCAGCGTACAGCTTCTGGGTCATGTGGCCAGCATGACTAAACCGCTTCTGGCGAACCAGAGCAGCGCACGGAAACGCCGTTTACCTTCCCACCGGAGTGGTACCTATTTATCTACTTGCACTTTGTGCTTTTGAACTGCTAGGTTGGAAGGAGCAGAGACCGAGCAACGGGAGCTCACCCCGTCGCGGGGATTCAAACCCCCGACCTTCTGATCGGCAAGCCCTAGGCTTTGTGGTTTAACCCACAGCACCACCGCGTCCTTATATGAAAACATATATACTATGTTTTCATGAAAACATAGTAAAGCATTAAACTTTAAAAAGCTTCCCTTAACAAGGCTGCCTTCAGATGTTTCCTGAATGTTATATAATTACTCCTCTCCTTAACATCTGATGGGAGGGCATTCCACAGGGTGGGCACCGAGGAGCAGTGGCGTAGCGTGGGGGGTGCAGGGGGGCCGGCCGCACCGGGCGCAACATCTGGGGTTAGGGCAAATCCACGGGTTAGGGGGCGCAAATCCACGGGTTAGGGGGCGCAAATTACTTGCCAGGGGTGCTGACAACCCACGCTACGCCACTGCCGAGGAGACCCTCTGCCTGGTTATTAATTTTTATTATTTCTTACCAGCACATCACTGCAGGCTCCCATAACAAGTTACACACACACACACAGAGAGAGAGAGAGAGGGAGAGAGAGAGAGAAGCAGAATATAAATACAAGTAAATACAATTAAAGGGGTGTAACTGGAGTGTTCTTGATCAGGAATGGCATTCTTCAGGAGCCATCCTGGAAAACAACAACTCCTCTGTCTGTCTATTGAGATTCCAGAGGCAGCTTGCATAAAGTATAGCATTAGGATTGCTTTTACCTCCTCCTCAGGGGAAGCAGATTTGTATTCCCAAAACCTAGTTCCCATGAGGCCATCAGGACTGTTTCCATCACTTGACATCTTTTCTTGTTCTCCTCACTCCTGGCAGATAGGTGGTCTCTTATGGAGTTCAGTGGTCCTTACTCTCTTTCCTCCAGAACTGTAGGTATTTTCATTGCCCCAAGGGCAGAGAGACAGGAGCTAACTGCAGTAGTAACTATGTTTCAGTGGATGTTCCCTTGCTGGGTTGTGAGTTCCTCTTTAAGGACTTTGGACCTGCTCTTTCAGAGGGCAATTCTATTCAAGGTCATTGTCACTGCTATTAACAACGCTTAGTATTTATAGTATTCAACACACATACACATTTTTACCCTGCCCATCCTCCCAAAGGAGTCCAGGGCAGCATTATCTTAACAATCCTCACAGGAACCCTGTAACATAGGACAGTATTATTATCCTCAAACTATGGGCCAGACAACTGAGGCTCAAAGAGCAAGACTAGTCTAAGGCCACCTAAGTGAACAGTAGGTGACATTTGAATTGCAGATCTTGTAGCTCATGGTTCGTACTCTCAGCCACTACAGCTGTTCTTTTGCCATTAATCCCACATTAGCAAGATGGCATCACAGCACAAATGGCATGAGAAATGTTCAAGGCACACTTTTTTTTTCCTTTTGCCACTTGCATGAAAACAGTCTCAGCTAAAATTGCAGGTGCTTAGAGGCCTCCAAGATCAAGATAGATGGCAGCCCCCCATGGTGTAGGTCTATCCCACAATTGAATGTAGTAACACAGTCCTAGAAGAAGCATTAAGTGATCCATATGAAGATTATTATATGGATGAAGAGGATACATTGTTTTGATATTATCCCTCCTCACTCACGCTAGTGAGTAAACAGAAGAGCACATTCCCTTTGCAACTTACTGGAAGTTTGGCTTGTCCAGTCTGGATTGTTCCTGGTAAGTTTCCCCTTTATTTCCCTCTTAAAGAAGACTGTGTTGTGTTGTTATTATTTTAAGAGTAAGAATAAAGTTTTTCTCACATTCAGTTCACAGCAGTAATCTGAAGGCAGGCTTCATCTTGTGGTTATAGTGAAAAGAAGTTTGAGCTACATCTCAGACTTTCTGCTTGTGGGGTCGATCCTATGTGAAGGTTGAGCCATGCGCTGGCTAGGAGAGGAAGAGTCCAGGAGGAACAGGAAGAGTCCAAGAGAGAGATGGTTGTGTGGCAAGCCCTTTTATCTGGACAGCTAGGGTCACGCCCATCTACCTGGTCACACACAGCGGGAGGAAGCTCCAGAGAAGGTATGACAGGAAGTTCTCCCTGTCTGGAGCCACATTCCCCTGTATGTCCATTCTAGGCAACAGGAAAATGCTGTGCTTGACTGCTCTAGTAATAATACATCCCACATTATGTTAGAAGGAAGAAAGTTTCCTTTCATTGTTTGGAGGCGGATGGCTTGTGCTTTCTTCAACTCAGAAGCTCACAATTGCAATTTGACAGGACTGCACCAAATAGAAACATCATGTTCATACAAAAGGAATGTTCAGATGACAGAAAAGCCTGAGGACAGGGATAAATCAAAGGTGTGGTGTCTGAAACCAAAGCCATCATTCATATTCAAAGGTTATTTGTTATAGTCCTGTAGCTTTGTAATGATTTCTAATAACAAGTGCTAATCACCTTATAATGACGAATCAAAATATATCCTGGATTCATTGGATTCATTTTATTTTTCTTAAAGTACTGACACCAACTTTCTAGTCAAAGATAATTGAAAGTCCAAACAGTGCCAGGAACTTTTGTACACAAATCTGTTTAATGCACTCAGTTTTGTTTTATGTTGCCATTCTCTTGCCAGCCTTTTAGGATGTACACAGTATAGAAAAGTTGGGCACAATCCTGCAAAAAATGACATACTTCTGAGGCCCATTGACTGTAGTGGGAGATTATCGACATGGGCTTAACTGTCCCATTCAACTCAGTGGGACTTTAATATTTCATAACTTTGTCTAGATGGTGCCCATTGATGACCAAAAATAAACAGTGGGCATTTCCCCCTCACAAATGTGATTGTCATGATTTGTGAACTGCCAGGTGATATATTTTTTCCTTGTGAATAGACAACATTTATTTCTTCAATGGGGCTTTTAAAAAGGTTGACCCTTGCTTCACTCCTCCCTGCTCCCTGTTAAATCTCCACACTTTCTCCATGTAACTGATATTCCTGAGTTGCAATGAGCTGCCTTTGGAAAAATGTGGAATTTGCAAGCAAGCTGCAGATAAATAGTACTGCACTCATTCTGTGTAACGGTGGAGGTGTTTGAGGTGGGACGAGAGGAAAGGAGGTCATACTTGGTAATCTCCTTATAAATAGACTGTTTATCCCACGCTTGTTCCATTTACTTCAGAGTAGTCTTAAGGTGCTCACTGGAAGGACAGATCGTGAAGCTGAGGCTCCAGTACTTTGGCCACCTCATGAGAAGAGAAGACTCCCTGGAGAAGACACTGATGCTGGGAAAGATGGAGGGCACAAGGAGAAGGGGGCGACAGAGGATGAGATGGTTGGATAGTGTTTTCGAGGTTACCAGCATGAGTTTGACCAAACTGCGGGAGGTAGTGGAGGACAGAGGTGCCTGGCGTGCTCTGGTCCATGGGGTCATGAAGAGTCGGACAGGACTAAACGACTAAACAACAACAACAAAGTCCTAAGGAAGGGAGGTTAAATGCCAAATAGACAAATCCTGCCAAGAATATGCATTGTAATGGTAAGAAAGCTACACAGTAGGGCAGTTGCTGTAGTGGCTGCTGCCCATTGGGACTGGTAGGGTGGAAGCCAGGGAATTCAACAGTAGGTGGCACATGGTGATATTGCATGGTGATAGAGAGCCAGTGTGGTGTAGTGGATAAGAGCGATAGACTCGTAATCTGGGGAACCAGGTTCGCGTCTCCGCTCCTCCACATGCAGCTGCTGGGTGACCTTGGGCCAGTCACACTTCTTTGAAGTCTCTCAGCCCCACTCACCTCACAGAGTGTTTGCTGTGGGGGAGGAAGGGAAAGGAGAATGTTAGCCACTTTGAGACTCCCGAGGGTAGTGATAAAGCGGGATATCAAATCCAAACTCTTCTTCTTCTTCTTCTGCTCCTGTTGTGACCCATCCTGGATCAGGTCATGATCCACTAACAGGGAGGCCCCATACCAGTTGAAGACCAGTGCCTAGGGCAGGGTTTCCCAGACTTGAGTCTCCAGCTGTTTTTGGACGACAACTTCCATCATCCCTAGCTAGCAGGACCAATGGTCAGGGTTGATGGGAGTTGTAGTCCAAAACCAGCTGGTGACCCAAATTTGGGAAACACTAGTCTAGGTCAAACCCAATGTGACATGGCTCAACCCCTCCAACACCCCCTCTTTCTTCCTGCTCTTCCTTTTGATCCCTGACCTTATATCCGCTGACATCCAAAGCTCCTTGGCCAGCTAACTTTCCCCCCCTTCAAACAGATTTTTTAAAATTAAAACTTTAAAGCAGCTTTAATTGCATCAAACTGCCCTTCAAGTATAGACAACTCCAGTTAATGCATGCATTAAAATTAAAACAAAAATCTCTCAGAATTTCAAAAAAGATCAGCTTTTTTAAATAAAAAAACATTTTTATTAAATATTTTTTTAGTTTACAAAAATACGTGCGTTGTCTCTTTTTTCAAGTTGCGTTTTCCACAGATCAGTTTCTTCAAACAGATTTTAAAAGATTAAAGCCTTTTGGGAAATGATCTATAATGAA